CAAACTGCAAACTTATTTACAATCCAAAACCCAAATGTATGATACAACGTCAAATGTCAAAATACATTCTATCAACCAAGAGTATAAGTACAAGAGGGTTATACATTCTAGGTCACACTTAATTGCTCCAGACGTGCATTCTTGCAAGGAAAACAAAAACTAAAGGAATGGGTTAAAAGCCCAGTGAGGTTTCCAAACAAGCAATCAGGTAGAGAAAACATAGAAGTATGGTACTTAACAGTTTGAACACTTTGCACAATAATAAACAGCCATTCAAGAAATAAACATTCATTCATTGGAAGGATACGTGCTCACTTGGAGCCATTCATTCAGTCATTCAATCGCCAACAATTTCCTTTACTCCTTCGCTATTTGAAAACATTTAGCAGTGAAAACTCCTTCAGTATTCATTGTCACTCATTCATTGATTTCATTACATTGAATTCACTGGCCAGTTCTCCACCAGACTTCGTGGTAACACTGGAGTATACCAAAACACTGTCTCAAGGTCACCAACTACTCGACCGAGTCTGTTTTTGGCTCGAGTCGACTGGCAACGAAGGGCAAGGGCCCAATTCAGGTAAAAGGCTCACATTCATGCACAAGTAGCATTCAATCATTTAATCATTGAAAATTTCACATTCATTTCTGTTGAATACGATAAAGTATACACTCGCTTATCGAAAATTCATTTAACAATCATTGAAAAACATTTAACATTCAATCAAACATTCACAACAATTCACATAGTCATTGGAAACACAACATGCAAAGAACACTCACCAATTCAAGCAAAATAACGTCAAAAGTTTCCTTCTGGTTTATGCCTTTGATCACCAACAAACCCTAAGAATAAGTAAGAGAAAATATTATGGTTCAACCATCTAAAGTTTAGGTGAACCAAAGAAAATCCGAGTAACTACCAGTACAAAGGTGCAAATATGGTTTTGGAGTAAAAAAAGAACATTTAGACCCAAGGGACATGAGTAATCAAGAATTTTCTCATTCTAATCATAAACCAAGCTCAAAATGGTTTAACAACTTCAACTTAAAGTTGAAAATGAAAGTGAGGACAGTTTAAGGAAAATATAATTTTTCCAGTTTTGCGCGATACTTTTTGAAAAATTATATCTCAAATTTTTTAAGTCCAAAATTTATAAACTTTGTACCATTGGAAAATAGATTCAAAGAGTTACAATTTCTCAGAAGACATCCTTGCTAGATTCTATTCACAAGTCAGTCAAATCCAATCTCAAGTGGCTGCTTTATCCAGCAGAAAGACAGAACAGGAATGGAAATTCAGTCAATTTTGAAAAATCTCAGATATTCACAGTAATTGCGGAAAATTATGAAAATTTCACGGTAGAAAGTATTCTGAATCTAGTTTCAAATGCAATAAGCAGAACTCAATTTGAATTTTTCTACACCATGATACGACAGATTTCCCAAGACTGCTTAGAGTCTCCTGTGGAAAAAATTTCAGTAGTATTTCCTTTGTGTTTACCAATTTTTTCAGCCATTCAAGGCTTCATTTTCTTTCCAAATCAGCCCCAAATGAACACTACAAGTAAGAATATAAAGGGATTTTGATCCAGTCTAAAAATCATCCAAATATAACTCATTTCTAGCAAATAATCAACCAATACCAAAGCTGGAAATTCTTACCAAGGCTGAAATCTCATTTTTTAAAGCTAAAAGTCACAATCATGCTATTAATCACCTCAAAAAGTCCATATCCAAGCTCAATACCAACAATTTATAGTTAAACAACACAATCAAAGCTGAAAAATATAAACCCTTGCTGAAATTTTCACTAAACAACCCAAAACTAGAAAATCATCTGTGATATTCCAAGATTCAAAGCTTCTATAGCATATTTAGCAAAATTAAGGTAAAGGCAAGAAGTGGATGAACTTATACCTTCCAAAACCTTCTTTAAAGTGAAGAACCAAGTTATTTCTTCCAAAACCTTCACCACACTAAGCTTCCTATGCACCAAGGTGAACGTTTAATCGGTTTAGTTTTTGTGGTTCAACTTAAATAAGGCTAAATCAAGATGTAGTTTGAGGTTTCTTCCCTCTTGTTTTTCTCTCCCAAAATTTCAGCCACCATGAAGGAAAAAGAAGAAAAATGAGCCATGAAAAAAGATAAGAAAAAAGAAAACTCATTTGGACAAACATTTCCTTGATTGCCGACACTTGGCAACTCAAGATTCTTTTTTTTTTCTTTTCTCACCTTTCTTTAGTCAAAAATGGCGGCTGAATTAAGGGTTAATTTAGGGAAAATTAAATGAAATAAAAACATGAAAATTAGGGTAAGAAAGTATTGATCAAGTGGTGTACTCCACCGGTAACAAACGGTGCACGTCAATTCAAGCCTATTTCCCTTAACTCCCTTGTACTTTTGTTTTAACTTATGATTCACTAACTTATTATTAGCACTTCTAATGACACACTTCCTTACCTAATTCTCACTCTTATCCACCAAATTTAGTGCACATATCTCACCAATCGATCACACTGCCAAAATACACCAAAACCCTAACTTACTCTAATTTTAAAAGTAAAGTAAAACTCTTGACTCAACTAATGGAATCACCATGATATTTAGGGCTAGTAAATAGTTAAATAGTCAAGTAAAGAAATAGAATTTTTGGGTCCTCACAAGGATTTTTTATGTGTCTTTGTATTACTCTCATGACTGCAATGATCAACATCATCATCAAGATCACAAGCAACTGACATATCTTGCCATAGAAAATAAGAAATAAAAATGACGAATTATATTTTAGTACCTTCAGCAAATTATTCATTTTTTTTCAAAATATTAATTTTCATAGCTTTAATTTTATGGATTCCATAAACTTGCATAGAGCAATAATGTGTATCATCATATCACATAAGAAAAAGGTGAAACTAATAACCTTCTAATTTTAATCAAATTGAACTACTCTGCAAGCAGCTTTTAGACCCTAGAGCAACAATATGGAAGAGAAGGTTGTGTCAATGTGAAGATGATGATAGATTTTCAAGTGATGAACAATAGATATAGTGTGAGAACTCGGGAAATTTATTTGTAAATTTTGAATTTATTATATTATATTTAATTTGTTACTAGAAATATTACATATGACAAATAAATGGTTAAATTAAATGCATAATTGAATTCCTATAAAAATTAAAATTTAGGAAAAAAATAAAAAATAGAAATAATAAATAAATAAAACAATAAGAAAAATAATAGAATGGTGTAGAAAATTTTAGGAATCAAATAAACATATGATAGACATATTGCAAATTATGACATTTGAACCAATTATATTGTTGAATAAGTACATGCCTAATTAATTTTCTTTAAAGCCAAATGTGTGGAAATTTACTAAACTAATGTAAGCAAATTTTTATAAGGAAATACAAATAACGTTCAGAGACAATGTATGAATTAGTAAGTTATAGCCTTAATAGGCAAATAAGTTAAAGTTAAAAGATGAATTTACCCTTGGAACCTAAATGAATAACCATGCAGCCACGCAAAATAAGCTATTAGCAATTTCAACAAAAGGAACCAAAGGAAGGAAAAACAATTGGAGAAATTTGGAATCGAATGGAAGTAAGGCAATCAAATGCTAGGAAAACTTGGGCGGTGGCTGAGGAAATGCCAAAGAGGAAGCAGCTACCAAAATTTGTTAAAACCAAGCGGTGATCGAGTAGAAAAGCGAAGTGTAATTGTTTTCTTTCTCACCTAACAATCAAGAGGAGAAGCAGAACTATCTGCTGATACACTTGGGCGGTGTTGAGAGGAAGCAATTAGAAAATAGGCTTATTAGTGGGCGGTGGAACATTTGCTGAGTTAAAATAGTGACCGAGAGTGAGGGAAATTAGGTAGTATTGCTTAACTTTCTATCATTCAAGCTCTACAAAACAACCGACAGGAAATAACTAGACAGTAGGCTCATTATTTGGGCGGTGATCAAAGGAGTGAAACAGACAGCTTCTTTTCTTTCTTTCTTTCTTGCATCTTACAAAAACAAAACTGATGGAGTGGAACTAAGCGTGAGGGAGAGAAAATTTGGCTAGCTACATCACCTGCTAATCATAACCAAGCAAACGAAGGCAAGGAAAATGGGAGGGAGAGCTAGTGCTGACCTTGAGAAAAACAAAGCTAAGAAATCTAATTAGTCTGCAACTTTTAAATCTTAAAGGAAAGAGGTAAATTTTCTGTGATCAATCCTTATTTATTGAGTATAAATGAATATAGATATAAGCTGCAAGTTTGGTTTTAGCAGAGAAAATGAGCTTCGACTGAAGAAAAGTTCTGGTTTGAGATTAAAATGGTTACTTGATTGAAGTTGTAGGAATCGAGAGTTAACTACCTGAATTGCAGCTCATTAGCACTACAACAAAAATGGCCTTTAATGGCATTTAAAAGTGTCAGTGTAGATAATATAACCTGACACTTTACCTTTCCTCACACCTTGGACGAGTGTCGTCCCTTCCAATGTAGGGATATGCTCGTAACATTCAAATGTGTCCGGAAAACTATGCTGTTATAGCATCTCATCTGTCAACAAAAATCTCTTTTCTTGATAATCGAAAGTGTCATTATATATTGCTTTAGAAGGTGAGCTATGCTGACACTTTTAACTGTTAGGAGTTTTTTTTTTCTTTTTTTTTTTGATATAGAAGCAACCTGCAGGTAGTGCTCCCTGCTATACATTCCGTCAATCAGAAACCCAAAGGACTTGTAAAATTATCCAAAAGAACAAAATGCATATAGTAATCTAAAAGTAAAAGTCAATGCTCAAATATAATTTATTGAACTAAAAGTCAGCAACAAGTTTTAACATAGCAAATCCCTAACAAGTACAAACTTAAAAGATTCTCATGTGCACAAACTTGAAAGATTCTCTTGTGCACAAACTAAAAGATTCTCATCCCTAACAAATAGAAAGAACTTGTAGTAGCTTTCAAACTTTCCAATGAAATGAGAGCCTTCAGTCATAATCATGAATACTCCATCAATCTTCAGCTGGTTCCACCTGTGCACAAAGTTTGTTGGGATCATTAGATCACCATACCAGAAAGCCAATGCACATGTGGCATACATGACCAAATAGATAACTCCAATCCCTGTTCCCTTGGCAAATTCAATCTTTATCCCTAATGGCACCGACTTATCAAGCACATCAACGTATTTTTCAACTAAAAGATCCTCTGCTACAAATGAGAATACAGTTCTAATCGATGATATGGCTTGCTCCACTATGCTGCCTGTTCTACGGTAAGAGTCCTTAAATACACCATCATAGTTAGTATAGTATAATTTCAGACCAATAAATAAAATAAAGTTTTTTTGGGGGGTACAATGGAAGAGGCAAATGGGATCAGTATAGCAGTTGCACATCAAGTGTCCAACACAACATTCTCGTCTGCAAAGGATGCAGAAGATGGTTCCTTGAGATTTTGGATGTATATTCACTGATGGTCTTGATTTCTTTATTCTCCACTAGGCATACTGATGCGGTCTCAATAGGCAAGCAAATGAAATCTTCAAACAACAAAGAGGGACCAAATCGGCATTCTCCTGAATTTCATACTCTGAAACCAGCATTGCTTCTTTGCAAAGCAGCTCTTCAAAAGGAATAACCGGCATTTTTCCAAGGCGGACATAATGATGGCTAGCTTTGGCTCCAAAAGGATACCAATCAGCAGTTGCAAAATTTACTGCCTCACCACAGTTGAAGCCTGCAGAAAACAAAACGAAAAAATGCAATCACCACAGTTATATATCTCGGTACGTCCTACCATGAACGAACACTAGCATACCATGAAAAAAAAATCACACACACCATGACTAAATCCAGCGTGATATGCTCTTGGAAAGGTAATCACAAACTTCCCTTGGCATTTGCACAGCCTTGTAAACAGAGCGTGATATTCATATCGGCATTCTCCTGAATTTCATACTCTGAAACCAGCATTGCTTCTTTGCAAAGCAGCTCTTCAAAAGGAATAACCGGCATTTTTCCAAGGCGGGCATAATGATGGCTAGCTTTGGCTCCAAAAGGATACCAATCAGCAGTTGCAAAATTTATTGCCTCACCACAGTTGAAGCCTGCAGAAAACAAAACGAAAAAATGCAATCACCACAGTTATATATCTCGGTACGTCCTACCATGAACGAACACTAGCATACCATGAAAAAAAAAATCACACACACCATGACTAAATCCAGCGTGATATGCTCTTGGAAAGGTAATCACAAACTTCCCTTGGCATTTGCACAGCCTTGTAAACAGGGACGCCTGTATGACAATTAATTTACAGTCTACTAAATCAAGCAGCCCAGCAAATAAAGGAAATCAACAAAATGTAAAATTTCTCAACAATCTGTAAAAACAGAAATTGCAAGCAAGCGGATAGAAATTTTATTTACCTAATAACATAAGAAAACCCTTCAGACCAACTCCTGTGCTCGCATTTTCGCAAAATTCCTAATTTCAATCTGAAATGTCAAAGGTTAAACAAACACAAGAGCGTGAGTTAGTATGATATTCATAAAAATCTATTTGAAAATTTGTTCATTCGCACTGCTATACCCTTGTTTGTTATCATCTCTTACAATTATCAGGTTTCATGTACGATTCACTTTAGACTCAATTTCACCCTCCAATGATGCTTCTCATCCAAGCAAAATCTTTGTGTCGGTGTTGCTGGTCATAGCAAATTCCTTATTCCTCCACTGCTTCTTTGAAAAAATGAAAAAGAAAATTCTTGTTCTTCATACACAATTATCATGGGTATGCAGTTCTGGAGAAATAATCTTAGATACAGGCTTAACAGATAAACTAAGCAATACTAGCTTCTTAGGCTTGGCAAAGATAAACTGCACAGATAGTTTCTGGATCTACTGTCTCAAAAAATTTACATGATTGATGACCTCATATGGAACGGAGATTTCCACCATGCTAAGATCTATAACAACTGCTTAAAATGTGGATTGATGTTCTTTCAATTAGAACTTGATAAATAAAAAAATTTTAAAAAGGTGATATTTTAAGATCCGATTGCTCAGTTTTCGCTAGCTCCACTTTTGAACAATATAAATTCTTAAGAAATAAAATAAAAAAGTCCCATAAGTAGTCTTTTCCTCTAACAAGATAGAAAGAGGCTAAGCAGTAAATTTATTAAACAGGACAACACATTGACGAAATTGCAACGGAAAAAAGAGAGAACTTTGTTAAGATCATAATTTCAAACCCACTAATAAATGAAGGAGAACCATGGTACCTTTTGATGATAGAAAAAGAGGACCACTTTTGTAAACTTGCAATCAACATTGAGTAGTTTATATCAAATATCCTCCTAAATCAGCTCTATAAATACCAAAGCAAGCCACCAATAAAGGCATATAAGGAAATCCCATTTAGCTGACAAACCTTAATTTTCATTACATTCTCAAATTGCCTAAGAGTAAAATAATCACCAAACATAGGTGTGTATGTGTATAATAATGAAAAAGTATCGGTGTGTATATAGCGGTAATATTATCAAGTTTCTGAACTCCAATACGTAGAAAAACATTTAGCAAGTCCAAATGCTTTATACTATCCAAATAGCCAGAACTTCTCTGGCCCATCAATTTGTATGCATAGTTTTGCTCATAGCCAGAAATCTATTCTACCTAAACCATGCTTGTAAAAAAGCATGCAACCAAAAACTAATCACCATCAAAAATCACAATACGAGTGATATACTCATTACATTTTCTTTCTATACTTTATTCAAACTTTTCTAAGCTAATTGTTGGCGATGTCATCCCTAATAATAAGTGCAACTGAACATTGATTAACCTCACAAGCCCAAAAGAACTTTTCTTAGTATTTGTTGGGTAGAGAAAAAAAGAAAGAGAAAGATAAACTTTGACAGAATATAAAGGAAATCATCCAAATGATTTGCAGCAGTAACATCAAAAGAAAGAAAGAGATCTGAATACACCTCAAAAGCATGGGAGCATGAACTGGGATCATGAAAAAACAAAATGTGCGAATTTACAAATGTAGGGAAACACATAAAAATGATTTACCTTGCTATTACCGCGAGAAATCAGACTATCATTGGACCCTTGCGGTGAAGGTGAAAGCGGAGGTGGTGCAGCAGCTACTACATTATTACCACCTTCCCTCTGAAACAACACCATCCAACCAATACTTCATTCACAAAATATTTCCACAATAACAAAAATAAATTTTTAAAAAAGAATCCATAATGCAGTACAAAATCACAATGATCAAGCTGACATTTGATAATCCCCATGACGGATTAACATTAAAGGAGATTCAGAAAAAAAAGGAAAAACAGGGGGAATTGACATTTTATCGAACGGGTTATAGACAACAAATCCATAACAAAATAGTCACATGAATCAAGTAGACAACCGAGAGGAATAAAGCTAAACAACAAGTGTACTCAACTCATAAACTATTACTACATCCATTTCAATCTCAAACAAATAGGACTAATGCCAATAACATTATCTAATTACTCACAAAATAAAAAAAATTACCATGCAATTACATACCTTCAATGGGAAAGCAAGGATAGTTTGTTTGTGAAAAGATTCAGCAGATACTATCCAAACAAATGTAGATACTGACCAAAGAAAGATTACCGGTTGTTTTGATTAAGATCATGGGAGTGATTAAGCAGAAGTGTCAACCCAAATTGAAAAGAGACCTACTCCTCTTTGTTATCCGGTTCAAAGTTCAAATTGCAACGTCAGAGAAACACTGACCCGTTAAATACGCAACTATTGTAAGATCTAATACTCAAACCAGCCACTATTTGACCTTCAAACCACCCAAAAACGCCATGGTTTCCCCTCTTAAAACCCGGTATGCTCACCGTTTTCTCAAACATCCCAGACAGATACTACTTCCAACTTATAGCTACAAAAATTCCAAGTGTTTTGGTCAAGAGATAATTTGCCGAGATAGCTTGTTTGCGGAGAGGTGAGAGAGATGAGAAGGAGAAAATTTTCACCAAGTCTTTTGGCTAGCAAAATGAAAGTTTTGAATATTTCACTAAGTGTTTTGACAAATGAATCTTCCGCCATAATCAAACGATGCCGTTTTGTGTCTTTTTTTTTGGTACATCTCACATTTTCTCAAGTGTCATGATAGGTAGTCTAAAAAAGGCACATTATTGTTTTTATATCAGATAAAATAAAAAAATAGAGTATATATTATTGAGTTAATAATAAGTGTCATGATAGAAGCGCTATAATAACACAAACCAGCAAGTGTCCTTATAGGTATGTCAGGAAAGGCCATTTTTGTTGTAGTGATTGTTAGAAGATAAAAATTAAATTAACAATTAACAATTTCTTCACTTTACAAAAATGTAAGGCCAATCATTCTATTTTTTTCATGGTGAGTGAAAGTACAAACATGGCAATAATTTCTTCCAAACTCATATTTCTTATGGGCCCCAAACTCCCAAAATCTTTAATCATGTCATACATGTATCAAATGTACGTCTATCCATGTGTAAGTATATTAACACAATGAGTGTCCCTTTCTTTAGTAAATCTAAATAATTTCTACATTCACTTGCATTTTTTCCTCTTTAGATTTTATTGAACATCTCATACTGTAAAGATGTACCAAAGTTACATGGTACCACATCATGAAGACTACAATGAAAAACATAAGCATCATAGGCATAATTCAAAAATTGCGCATTCGCATCCGTCTTCTATTTGTAATAGGAAGATGTATCATTTATTTACAATAAATGTTACAAGAATAAGTAAAACTCAAAATAATCAATTGGATAGAAGTTTACTACAGGCCCTGCAACCAATTTAATATGGTCATAATTGTGTCAAAATATTGTTGAACTTGACTACAACTATTTTCTTAGTTTATTGTCATTGTTAGTGAAAGTCACATGAAGATGTTTCTTATTATACATAGTACTAATCTAAATCTTCACAAATCCTATTTTAATAGTAGTAAGAGTCAAATGAAATTGTTTTTTGATTAGTCTACTTCTACTGCCGAATTTCTATTATTCAATATGCTATCAAATTTTAGTGAAAGTTTCATCAGGTTATGGTTATTTCTTGAATAGTCAAATACTACTGCCAAATTTACATTCTTCAAGATACTATTAAATTTTGCATTCTATTTTAAAGATACACATCTATGCTGAATAGATTTTGTAAGCAAAACTGACACAAAACTTTTTTACAAATCCATCACATTGTTTAGTCAAAAGAGTCCCAAAAATCTCATGCCAAAAAGGGAACAATATTAAGATTTGGCATTCTACAAATGATAACACCTGTCACTTTAAAGTTAAAGAGTTATAAACAATACAATAATATTACATTCTTTGTATGATATTTCAACAACACTGAAATTAGTAGTAGCATTAAGAATCTATACACCATAAAATAATTTAAAAATAACTTAAAATCTATAGAAGGTGAAATATAGACAGCACATAAAGCTAATCATGAAGAGATTTGAGATATTTTTACTCTCAAAGGCTGATTTGTTGGTTTTCCTTTTTCTGCTACAAAGGTGTAAATCCCAATCTCTAAATCTACTTCTTGTTATGCATTCACAAGAGAAAAAATATATTTTCAAGAGAGAGAGAAGAATAGATGCCAGATGAGAGGAGGGAAGTAGTTGAAAACAATTCATAGAAATTGGATGAGAGAAGGGCAATGGAGATAATAAAGAAGAGGGAGAAAAGAAGTCGAAAAAGTGATGGTTGAAGTAGATAAGGGCACTCGTGTCTTTGTTGAATTATAGAGGAATCAATTTTGAGTTTTATTCAAAACTCTCCAATCTTACTAGGGGATTGGAGAATTCTAAATATTTAGATATGATTTCAAAATTTTGATTCTAATAATAGTAATTCAGACAAAAATTATGAAGTTTATTTAAATTTTTCATTCCAAAACCCTCTTACCAAATGCCACTTTAATTATGTCAATTGACTACTTTAATAAATGAGTGAAAGTCGGGTGCTCGACCTTAGTTACTGCAAAGTATTATTTAAAGTTTTCTAAAAGAAAGATGTTTTGGAGTTTTGGAATTCCTAAATGTTTGACATTTGAGTACTAAAAATCAATTTACAAAATGTCCATTCAATTTAAGGTATGTAAAGTAGAACTTAACTCAATATTTTCCTTTGAAAATGCACCTACCACAATAAATTGACAAAAAGTACATTTTACTATCATCACAAAAGTAGCATATTACTTATTTCATATTATAGTATATAGTACACATATCATGTTATATGATAATATATTATATCATATTATATTATGACATAGGTTGGAGGTAAGGCAAGAGATGGAACAGAGGAATTCTCCCTACCGCTACCCGCAACCTCATTTAAATACTCATGCAATGTTACTGGCATGAGTAATTTATTTTCTTGCAAATTGATTTGAATGAAGGATGTAGAAGATTTGACATATTTTTAACTAATTTGTGAGCTTTTGAGCCTAAGGAGCATGTCAATTATAATTGCTCTGTTTTCTTTTATTGAATGGATATCGCAGATGGTTTGATATTCTAAAACTTGCTTTGTTATGCATGTTTAGACCACACTCAAATTTGATACATTAAAATGACAAGGGCAATTAGGTTTAACCCTTTTGACTTTCTAAAGACCTACCTTAATTATGTTTTTCCTTAGTTAACCATGTTTGAGTCTTGACCTTTCCTTTATTTGATAGCCAAATATGTTAGTTTAAACCTTTTGTTTACACTTTCTTGTTTGTTTCTTATGTCAAAGAGATGCCTTAATTTTATTGCATGATTTCAAATAGTTTTCCTAGGTTATATTTGAAGCTAGCAAGTGTATTTATGTTTCCATTTTGGTTATGTCTTGTTGAGAAAGCTGAAAAAAAGAAATATTAAAAAAATGAAAAAATACAAAAAAAAGGGAAAAATGTTGTGTAGTGCTCTTGCAAATATGTGTTGTGTTGTGATAGCAGGCTAAGGCCTTTGTTGTTTGCACTTGCTGAACTTGAGGAAGTTATGCAATTACCTTGAAATTACACTTGCCAATGAAGATGGCATTCTAATTCATGCAATGATTTTTTTTTGGCATTCCTTTGATATATTTACACCTAACTTTTTCCTTTTTATCCTACCTTTACCCAAGCCCCATTACAACACTTGTTGAAGACCCTTTGATTTTTGTATTAAATTCATTATAAGTGGTGGAAATGTGATATATTTGCAAGCCTATGATAATATCATTCCATTGTGATTGATTTGAGTGTTAAATGCCCCTTAAACATTTTTGACTACTGAGTGTATACACTAATATCCTTGTGAGGATTGTTCAGTAATATGCATCTTGATTCCTAAGAGATTGTTGAGAAAATTTGATATTTATGCTAGTGTATTGTGCTATGAAGTGTTTGTCATCTTAATTATGACTTTTGGCTTGTGAATGCTTGAGGGCAAGCATTGTCTTTGTGTGGGGCAATTTGTGACGAGGTTTACCCACACCCTTGTTTTATTCAATAACTCCCTTGTTTGTTGCAAGTATATCAGTCACTATGTAGTACTAGGAAGTTATGGCCGATCCCTCAAGGAGCACTCACAATTATTAGAACTTTATCCTACTTTATTATATAGAGAAGCAACAATAATGAGAAATAAAATCTATTCAAGATACTAATGTGTAACAGCTACAAGTGAATGGATGAACTCAACTAACACACAAATTTTAGGGTATGGAATCAACCAAGTCTCCTTGATGATAGCTCAAATGAGTGATAAATGCTACTCTACTTGTCTTGCTAAGGATTCATTCACATATGGTATCCGAGACTCACTTTCATGAAGGATTGAGTGTCATCTACACATGCATTTTCCTACTTTTGTGGTGAAACAAAAAGTATGGTGCCATTAATCTAAAAAATGCACTAAAACCCACCTAATCTCAACTCTACTCATGTGTGCTAAAGTCCTGTGTTCCATCTAAACCAGTTCCATCATTATCTACCAATTCTCATTGATAAACAACAACTAACATGATTTACAAATGGTGATCAAGCATTCATAAATGTTCAAGCAAATTTAGATGAACTAGCAAGTACAAAGAGGTAACATTCATCTACTCATTCAAATCAAGATCAAGAAATACAAGCTATCATCCACTCTTACAACAAATATATTAGCTAGACATGAAAAAAACACATGAAACTTAGATCTTCGATAAATCTCACTATAAATCCAACGAAATAAAGAGAGGGAGAAGAAAATGCTTATTCGATTGAAGGAACAAGGATCTCCAAGCTTCAATTTCTCCTTTGTCTTCAAAATGCTAAGATTACATTAAGAATTCATTAAGAGTTTATGCTAAGAGTCCAATTCTAGAGGGGGAGAATAAGTTTTAGTCTAAGAAACTACTTCCTACTTTCTATTCTATTCTTTCTGATGACCCAACGAAATTCAAGACTCTTCTTCAAGAAGCTTCTCCCTAAAAAGTCTTCATTTCTCTCTTTCTTACATCATTGGATTTTGATATGACATAAAGTTGCAAAAAGGTAACAAAAGTTGATGTTGTAGATCCAAAAAGTAGCTGTCAAAATGTTCTAACTGTCACAGAGAAAAGGGTTGAAAAGTTGGTTGCAAGTTGCACAATTTGGAAAATTTTCCCACTCAAGTAGTCGAAGCGATATCCGACTTGACTTCTTCTATTTGGCACCGTATATTGCTAAACACCTTTTTTTTTTAAACTTTCTGACGAATATCTGGTGCAGTATCGAGCTTGACTTTTTCTATCTAATGCCATATATATCTTTCAAAACTAGGTAACTAGTGCCATATATATTGCCTACCTGCCAGAAGAAATTTAAACCAATAAATCTATTCACTTTCACACAATTTTTTGCATTTTGCTTACTACATCAACTAGTTATCACCTAATCATCAAAATAACCATTTTTGTTATCGTTTTAAACCCAATTCCACCACAATCCATCCAAAATATATACAAAATATAAG